GAGCTCGGTGCGGCCCCGGTGCGGGTTCTGGGTGGGGAGGTCGTGATGGAAGTGGATATCGTGATGCTGCTTACTGTCTCCTTCGGAAATGCCCCATGGTTACTGCTTCAGCAGCTTTGAATAAATAAAGGGAGCGTGCGTTGGAAAGTAATCTGTTGCTTTTTCGTTGCTTCATAGACAGAATGAGGCGACTCATGCAGCTGACCAAGGTAAGCTCCTGTTTAGCTGAATAGCACATTGCTTTTTATATGTCAGGCTTTCTTTTCTGTACTATAGCTATGGTAAGGTAGCTATCTGTTACAGAGCTCCTTTGGAAATATGAAACCTGAATAGATCATACTGACTGTCTATTGCAAGGAGAAAATACTGAAATACCGATATAAAGGTGGTAGTGGTCATGTTTAGTGTCTGATTCCAGAGCCTTTTACACTGTACAGTGACTTAAGCCCAAACTGTTTAAGGAAGTAATGGGCAGCTGTTACAGTGTAAAAAATCTAGGATTACTATAAAGAGACAATCTTTAGCATTCAGTTAAGTCATAAATGCTATTCGTAGATATATCTGATAATTACCTTGATGCTGCATACATAGTACTGTGATTTCATGGTAGCGATAAAAGTTAAATAACACTATTTAAATCCTCGACTAGAAAAAACAGACTCCTGGATAGTCATCAGTACTTTAGCCCTTTTTATCTGTACTTCTACGTATGTTACAAAAAATAAAAGTTTTGTTGTTTTTTTTGCCCCCCCCCAGTTCTCTCATTCCAACCTTCAATAATTACATGGATGGCCAGTGTAACACTTACTTTTTCTTTTATTATTAAAAAGAAACATATTGGCAAAACAGAGGTGAACTTAGGATGATACTTTGAACATTCAGTCTCCGCAGCATGTATTTAATAGGGAGAACAAGGCCAAGTCTAGAAGCCACTTTTTGAGTATTGCATAGCTGTTATGTTGCATTGACTTGTTATCCTGTGTTGAATCCCATTTTTTGTCATTGCTGCATAAGAATAGGAAAGCTGGATAGCTGTACTTCAGATGTGTCCTCTAAGGCTTGCTTCATCCTTTTCCCCTGCCTGTTAACAGCCCTTCTCTGAGGACAACGTGTTGTAGCTTTTGCAAGTCAGAATTTCTGAAAAGGCCTGTTGGTGTTGACTAAAATCTTATTTTTTTTTTTTTCCACCTTAATGATTTTTTTTCATTCCTGTCTTTTATGCATGGCTCCTGATTCATAGTATGGGGAAATTTTTTCTTTTGTCTATTAAATTTGCTTTAGATGAACACCCTGAAGATGGGTCTGTAAAGCAGAGTGAAGGAAAGGGTCCGGGACAGCTCAGGAAAGACAAGCCAAGGGGTACCAGGTATGGTGGAAGCAGAAGACACAGGGGTATCTGGGTGACAGCTTCACCCTGTTTGGGGGGAGGGCATCACAGCAACTGTTTTATTACTGGATCTCTGTACTGTTTTTCACTTGATGTTATTCCTGCTCGTCTGCTAATTGAAAGCATATTGTGCAATTAAAGGCCACTTTAATGTGCTTCTGAAACAGCATGTTTTTTTAAAAAAAAAAAAAAAAGTGTATTTCAAGAGACTGCACAGCAGTGTGAGACTGTTACCTGACATGAACTTGGATGTGGCAATGCACATTCCCATCCAGTGCCTCATAGCAAGTCTTGTGGTTTGGACAGCAGGTGGACCTTTTGCTCTGCCTGTGCACTTTTTTTGTGTGTATTTTTTTGTTTTGTTTTTGTTTTGGGGTTTTGTTATTGTTTTAAATGAATCATGTCTTTGGCTAATACCGTACATGTTTTTTTGTTGGGAGCAGGGGGGAAGGTTGCTTTTTTTTTTTTTTCTTTTCCCTATTTTGATTGTGGTGGGGTTGTTAGGGTTTATTTTTGGGAGGGTTTGGGATTTTTTTTTTTGTTTTGTTTTTGAAAAGCCATATTATATGCATTTAATTATTTATTATCAGTTTAATATCAATTAATGATTAAGTAAGTAAGTTCAAAACTTATTAAAAACCGCTTTAATACCAGGAGCAAAGATGAACTCCTAGCAATGTCTTTTGGACTTCATTCTTACTTTTTGTTTTGGACTTACTTACTTTTTGTTGTGTTTGCTTTTTCCTGTATGCCTAGAATTTTTATGCCACTACTGTTGCCTGAGGAAGAAGGGAATTTGTATTTGGGCATGAGCTTGCCTTATTCATCAGAGAAATACTAGATTTCACTTTCAGGTGTGGAAAAGAGAAATTAAGGTTCTGTTCTTACAGCTGGGATGAGATTGGGGCAACTATAAGCAGAGCTGTTTAAGTTGTGTTACACATAGTCCACTAGCTCTGGTTTTAGCACGCCTTTTTCTTTTTCTTTTCTTTTTTCTTTTTTTTTCCTTTTTTCCCCTGACATCCCTCTAGGGGAAAGTTACACTAGCTTTTGGCAGGACTAGTTCAAGACTCTTCAGGCACTCCTGTTCGCTCTGTTTAAGTAATAGCAAAATGACAGCAAATGCGCCTCCTTTGCCCCCCCCCCCCCCCCAACTTTTTTTTAAGCTTTCCATGTCAGAAATACACTGGTACAAGCCTTGGCTGAGAATCAGAAACCATCTGCTGTGCTTAAGTAGCAAAATATTGATTGGAGTGTCCATTGTTCTGGCTTCTGTAAACAAGCTGCCAGAATTTATTTCCTTTAACTGTTTTTTTTTGTTTAACTAGGTCAAAAGGAAACTATATGGCTATGCACTTAAAAGATCAGAGTTTAACAGGTCTCCACCAACAGACAGCCAAAGACTTTTTACACGCACATCTCTATGGACCAGGCACCAACCGAACGAATGGTAAGCTGTTTTCCTTACGCAGCGCTGCATCTTCTGTATTAAACTCAGTAAACAACATTCATCTCTGTTTCAGCCAATGAGTTTTTTTCCATTGAAAATAAGAAAAACCCTGTTAAAAAAGCTGCAGTTCAGTTTGTGGACAAATCTTGGGGTAAGTGTACTTGAGCTACTTCTTTTTTTTTCCCTCTCTCCTTTATATAGCTTTCTGTTAGATTGTAGTTTGCTACCTTCGAACTGAAAGTATGTGATAGCAAGGGAGGGGAAGCAGGACACTACAGGCTGATTGTAGTAAATGTTCGGCGTGGGAGGGTGTATAGGACACAATTCCAAAAAGTTACCTCACTTTTCATACATTAAGAAACATCATCTGGGCGTAGAGCTGTGTTTACTTACCTGGTTAAATATCATTCATACTAATTGTTGTGTCAGTCTATAAACTCTGAGCTATTTGATATAATTTATTTTGAATAGGTGTAAAACTGTACTGCAAGGATGCCAAGATCCCCAACTTCTTTTGCACGGAAAGGGACAAAATAGGCCTTTTTCCCCCTATAAAAATGCAAAGTTGTAAAAATTAATGAAGATAGATAGACCCATACATCAACTACAGCCATCTTGCTAGTCAAGCACATAAGCAGAGTCTGTGAGGATCATAAAATTGAGAGAAGAAAAGTTAGTTGTAATTATTAATCCCTGGTAGTCAGGGTATGCTTTTCAATTGGGCTCCAAAAGTGAAAGAACAGCATTACTGTACCTTCTTCTGAAGGAGGTTAGGATAAGATGGTACCACTGTCCCATGGAAGCCTTTTATTGTATGTGAAATAAATAAAATGGGAAATTGAGTAACTGTCCAGTCATGTCTCCTGCTTCCTGCTTAGGCTTGAACCGAACTGCTACAGTAATCTATGCTTCTGCTGCTTCTCAGATATATGGTGCAAGAAAATGCTACAACTTTTTTTTTTTTTTTTTTTAAAGGACTAGAAGAAAAGCAAAAAGCAACAAAGTTTAAGAAATGCTGGCTCGCAACAAAGATGAAAAGTCTGGTGTGAAAACAGCTTTTTCAGAAGGTGCTATCAAGGACTTACTTACTTGTACTGAAAGTTATCGTCTCAGCACGTGCATATAAGAAGAGAATGAATATATATATAATAGCCTCCAGAACTCTCTTTACCTTTCAGCTGCAGACAACACAGGCACCAGAAGAGACTAACCTTCACAAAGCTGTGCTCAACTTGACTTTCAGAAGTTGCTGGGATAGATAGTTCAAGAAACAGCTGGGCTTTGGCAGTGACTGCATAGCTTTAACACTCATTTTTTTGAACAGCAGGTGTTACACAAGACCAGTTTGATATAGCTGGCCTCTACTGCTGGCAGAGAATAAAGATGAATGATTTTGTACACACTGCTGACCTGGATTGGTGCATGTCTTACAACAGTAAATGATTCCTGCTTTTTCAGTCATTTGCAGCATTAAAAAAAAAAAAACACTGTATTCTACTATCAGAATCCTTAAGTCAGTTATATAGCAGAGATTTCTGTCCAGCCTGAAGATTACTTTCAAGGAACATGACTTTTTCCTCCATCTTAGGGGAGGCCTACCAATACTGAAGAAACTTCAGCTCAGTGCCTTGCCTTCAGCAAGGCTAGCTAAACTTGCTTCTGGCACGAACGCTTTAAACTGCTAAGTTTTGACAATTCAGCCACTGCAGTAATCTGATGTAGGGAAGCAGTGTCTCAGGTCTGACCAGTGAACCGCAGAACCACTATTCTAGGATAAAAAAAAATCTAGAACAAAGAAAATGTAGCATACAAGTCCATGCTACCATATATGTAGAAGTAAGTTTTTAATGGCTGGTTAATTATGATATCACTACATTTTATTGCAATATAGTACTATTTAAGCACTTTTAAAAATGCAAGGTGTACAAAGATTAAATTAAGACTGTAAATTGACTAAATATTTGGTTTTTATATAAATAGGTCATAACCACACTGTGTTGACATGTAATACTGTTATAATACAACAGTTAAACTGGTGAGTCTACACAACAGAAGCTGTCTGTAGTTAAACAAGGAAACAAAGTTGAAAGACCATGTTAAAACAAAAAACTACTAAGATCAACAGGTTGGGATTGTAAGTAGCAACAAACATATTCACTCAGCTCCTGAGTAATTCAAGTTTTACAGTACACATTAAAAAATATCATTTCTTCCCATCAACACTATATATCCAAACCATCAGGTGTTTATGCATTTTGCAAATTACACTGATTGAACTATGTAACAATGGGGGTGGAGGTTGGCAAGTCATCCTGCTTGACGTTTACATCACCCACGTGCTAATACATCCACTTTTTATATTCCTCTGTCCCACCACAGAGCAGCAGGATTTTTTGGTTTGTTTTGGACAATAGTTTAAAGGATTTGTAATTGTCAATTTGGATGTCTGACATTATCAGTGATATTTTCAACTCTTAGTTGCCTAAGAGGTTTAAAGATGGAAATTCTCCTAACACTAAGTTAGAAATCATTTGCATCATGCTGTAAACTAGGAAGCAACATAAAGCGACAGACTTGTCCTTAGTACATAATTAAAATTCCAAATTCCAGTCAGCAGAGCTGGTCTACTTTCCACGTTGAATATGCCACAACACATTTCAGATCTTCAACTGCATAGCTAGTGTAGGTAGTCTTCCACTGTGGCAAATGCACAGGATCCAATTCCCGATCGAGCCATCAATCCCAGACACTGTGAAGCTTGGCCCATTGCTAGGGCAAGTGGTGGTTGCTTTGGCAGATTGTGAGTCTCTGAAAGAGAATTAACAGTGGTAGAGTTACAATACACGATTATTCTCATAGTAATACAGTGCAAATTTAAATTTAAGCTTGCTTAAATAATTTCAGGATTCTTATTTTTACTTGTAAAGCTTAAGGCAGAGCAGGAGCAGTGAAGTGACATTTTAAAATTCCCTGCATAGCACCAGAAGTGAGCAAGCCAATTTTTTGTTTCAAAACAAAAAAAAAAAAAGGATGAATCTGTTACATCAGTTACACTGTTAACTCCCTCAAAACTCTTTTATTCTGCTAACAGACATTGCCATAATATATTGCTGTACTTCATTAATCACTCAGCCCAGCAGATAGTGTATAGTAATCAGCAACGCTACCTATCCCAAAAAGCACTTGCACCAAGCATAAAACCATGAGTCCTTACCTAGTATTGCACTATTAAGTACAGAGCACACAGGTTCTCTTTGTATTGGGTCAAGCTGATTCCCAACAGGACTGCTCCAGGGATCTGAATACGCAAGTAAACTGAATGCATCCTATGGAAAGAATTTCATTAAATCCCTCAGCTGTATTTATTAGTGAAAACTAATATAATTTTCTTCACCCATTTTAACTCAGAATAATAAAGGTTGTTGTTGGTATCCTTCATCGATACAATGGGATAAAAAAAAACATTACAGCACTTGCTCCATTTCAAGCAAGCGCTGTTTTGCCTCACTGGAAATTACATAGTCCAGTTTAGCAGTGTTAAAAGTGGTGAGAGAGAGAACAACCTGGAAATTGCATTCAGTCAGTCTTTGGTATTATTTTCTAGTGTAGCCCCTGGTCAAGGTAAACTAGTTTCTGTATCTAACATCGCCCCGCCACACAAGACGGCACGTTTCAGGCACTGTATCACCAAATCTCTTATTTTTCATAGGGATCATTTATCATTAGAACTGAAAATGGCATTTTTATATTTATACAGGAGGGCAAGCTACATATTCAGAAGTGAGCGAGCCAGAAATGCTAACTTTGTCTCTGCTTTTTATAGTTTATATTATGAAAGTTATCTTTATGAATGTGCTACACAGACAAGATGGGAGACAGAGTGCTGCTCCACCACTGACTAAAATACTTCCTCTCTCTTGGAAAGAGCCCACACAAATTAAAGCAAACAATGTTTTAATGTATGCTGTGAAAAGTTTCAGCTTGGCAAGGTATTATTCCCCTTAATGACAGAACTTCAAGAGTAAGTGTACCTTTAGCATTTTCTTATTCGCTGTGTTTTTGCCACATTCTCTTCTTAGTTGCTCACTCATTGCTTGCAATTCTCTTCCAAAATGGATCATTCTTTCAATAGCTGCTTGACTGCCACCACATAGCTGACGTCTTAGCTGACTTGAATCTACTTCTGCAAGAATGATATCGTCATCATCACCAGTAATAAGAGCTGGCAATAAAAGCCTGTGGAACTAAAGAACCTGCATTGATTTCACTCAAAAGATAGCGGGCTTCTCCAAGTGAAACGTGTAGGGCCAGAGATCTTGGCATATTGTATCGCTATTATGCGCACTGTGGAATCGCTCCTTAAGTAGTAGTATCTTAAGGGATTTCATTAGCAACAAAGATGCTGGGTTTTATCATGGTTAATTTTAAAGTAACTACACTATAAACCCAGTGTTAAGCAAGAAGCGTTCTTGTTTTGTTTTTAAAGAACGGCTGGCTGAAATACACACCTTTTTAGTTCAAGAAGTGCACATAGTTCTAGCTTCCTTTTTACTTGTTTGGCATTGTACTTCTAAAGTACACCAAACCTCAAACAGCCAAAATAAGGTAAAATTAGTTTTAAAAACTCTTAAACTTCCCCAAGTGCCAAGACAGACACTGCTACAAAACGGCCAGCAGAAATTCTTTATATATCTGAAGTCTCTCTAAATGATCCAATACACTGATCAGACTCCTTGCAAAATGTATTAGCTTAATAACTTGGTTATTTCAGGCTTCCTTTGTACTCTAGGGGAACATCAGAAGTACTTTCTTTGCTGTATAGTACAGTATTTCCCAACATTAGTGATTTCCAGAGGATATTAATAGTTTATGAACAATAAACCAACCCTTGGCATCTCAGAAAGGTCCTCCTTTTTAAAAAACAAAAGCAACCTGTATAAAAGGGTTTATCCATTCCTTGCCTTCCCCCCCCCCCCAAATCAATGACACTAATTGTCGAAACAGAATTTGGATCTACACTTCAGTTCCTTCCCATTTTAATCTTGCTATATATTGACAGATATTGACCACTATTTTTAACAGGTACTTAAAACAGTGATTTTCAATTTTTTCTTACAAGTAAGAGTATCACCTCTGAAAAAACTACCTACATCAAATTACAAACACAGCAATAAAGAGAGTATTTCAGCAAGCAAAACCATAATACAAATAATTCTCAAACTGTGGGGTGTAAATAACGTTAGTTTGAGGAGGCACATTTGTTTTTACAGAGGTGGAGCACTCATGAGTCTTCAAGCAGTGGTGTTTGTTGCTAGCTGCAGTCCAAAATCTAGGACATCATTTTCCAAAGGCTGAAAACAACTACATAAAAAAAAGCGCAACTGTGCGCCCTGTGCAGCTGCTTCATGTCTGTCACAACAAGCCTCTGTGGAAAAGGCTGCAAGAGAGTAAAGAAGTGTTTTGTTTTTTTCTGTCACAGAAACGAGGCCTTTTTAATATCCAGTTTCAGAGAGTAATGCAGAGAAATGGCAGGGAAATGTGAATGTCCACCCTTCAGGGCTGTAACAGAATTACACTTGCCTTTGAACAGTTATGTAGTATTTACCAGCCAAGCTGCGCAACCAGCAAGGGCGCACGCCCTCAGAACCATGAAACATTCACAGATATTTGTAAATACTGCTGTGTATTCTGAAAGTTTACCAGTAATGTTGTCCTGAGTTTCACATTTCATTTAAGCTACATAACTGATGCCAGTTTAAAAATCAATTTAAAAAGGCAGTTCTGCAAGTGCAGAAATGGCTGGACCAGATTCTTCCATTTTTCAGACACCACCAGTAATAACCACCGTTGTCTGAATCTCAGCCTGCGCGCTCTTAAGGAATCTGCCTGCCTTCAGCATCACCAGACAGGGACAGCTGGTTAGCACGGTAATTGACACAGAGCAGTCAGTATCTTTTAAGGTGTGCTGGCACTCGTTTGTCACATCAGTAAGGATGACAAAACATGAAACAGGTGAAGTAAAACCAAATTACTTTTTAGAGCAGGACTACGTAGAAGAGGATATTTCTTTGGTGGAAAGTTTTTTACATCTCAATTCCCAAATCTTTTCCTGAGCATTTACTATCAACATCTTCGCAATGTTTTGTATTCTTCAATACAAGTGATTTAGAATTTCAACTCTCATTCCTGCATGCTAAGATGCCTTGACAACCATGAATAATAAAAGGTTGGGGGGAAAAGAGGGAAAAGCCCTAACCTAGGTGTGCCAGAACAAGTAGGACGATTTCTACTCAAAGGTATTTTCTTAGAAACTCATGGATATTTAAACTAGCATCAGTGACTACTTTCCCCTGTTCTCACACTGACATCAGTCCAATCAGCGTTGTAAGATTTATACACAATAAC